CGCGACCCCCCCCCAGTGGCGGTGGAGGGAAAATTGGGGAATTAAAGATCAAAAAATTATAATGTTGCCAAGTTTGAAAAACACTGCTCTAGGAGGAAGCCCTATGGTAATCAGTGGGACTTGTGACCATCCATATTTAGGACCCCACTGTTAGGAAAAGAGCAAATAATCTTTGTGGTCCTATTTGAACAACGTGCTTAACTGAATCAAGAGTGAGACTAACTGGTCACGCAAACATGAAAACCCAACTGTACTGGAGCAGAAAAGGATAAATTTTAACTCAAAACAATGCTGGGCTTCTTCCGGCTTACATTATCCTACCCTGGTGAGCCAAGCCAATAAGCTGTTGTAACTAAGTAGGAATTTGAACATGGTCTTTTTGTCCAAGTCCCACAAAAAAAAGTCATGTTACCACACTTTTGCCCGCTTCACATTGTCCCCACTGAGTTACATGTAAAAAGGGGTGGGGCTTCGATTGTGCAGCCACCATCTTGGCTTTTTTACACACACACACAGACACACACGTGCCCCACAGATGCCCCTGCCGTGCTTAATTTGGTGTCCCTCCTCTTAAGGAAGTATACATCTGCTTTCACCAATCTGATGCTGTCCAGATGTGCAGGAGTAAAATTCCCCTAATGCCCGCGCCAGCTGGAAATAGTCACATTTATAATCCCACCACATCTAGAGAGCCCCACGTTGGGGTGGCTGGTGTAGTTTAAAAAATGACAACTGTGCAGTGTAGAAACTGACCATCTCTAACCCAACTGTGAAGGAAACCGAGTTCTCAGAAATCCGTAGCTCAGTCAAAAATGTGTCAGAAATGGATAAAACCATTATGAGTAATGTGGTGGAGCCCTTAATGCCGTGCCTGGAATTGTCAGAGTCTGGATGGAGAGGACCAGGCTCAAACTAAGCAAGATGGAGCCCAGAAGTCTTCCAATTCTAGAGCAGTTGCCATCTCTGACCCTAGACGGGGTTCTGGTACACCTGAATGGGCAGGATCACAATCTGGGAGTCTTCCTGGACTCACAGCTTCTGCTGGAAGAGCAAGCAGCAGCTGTGGTCAGAAGGACCCAGCTATGGCTGGTGCACAAATTGTACCCTTTCCTGAATCAGGCGGTGCTGTACATAGTCTTCCATGCCTTGTCAATCCTCAACTGGATTACAGTAACATTCGAAGTTACAACAGCGCTGAAAAAAGTGACTTACGACTGTTCCTTGCACTTACGACTGTCGCAACATCCCCACGGTCACACGATCAAAATTCGGGTGCTTGGCAACTGGCATGTACAGTATTTACGATGATTACAGCATCCTGGGGTCACATGATCCCCATTTGTGACCTTCCCAGGGGCTTCTGACAAGCAAAGTCAATGGTAGAAGCACGGATTCACTTAACGACCGTGGCAAAAAAGGTCATAAAATCAGTGCCACTAACAACTGCATCACTTAGCAACAGAAGTTCTGGTCCCAATTGTAGTTGTAAGTCGAGGACTACCTGTAGAAGTTTCTTCACTAACTAACTAGCTAATTACAAAGTGTTCATCAGTAGGGCTTAATCAAGGGTAATTCCTTTTTTGCAGCCCAAGAGCCATCTCTATCCACAAAGCTAAATGTAGCTTTCCTGCCGTTCTGAGGTGGGAAATATATGAAAACGGTATTATAACTCTAAAATAGGCTTAACACAATTTAAAGGATCTCCCCTCCCCAAAGGCAGCAAATCTTAGCCTTGCCAACCTCTGTGATTCTATTTTACATCCTTAATCTGCCTATGGTGGTCCCCAGCCGCTACCAAAAAAACATTAACTACCTTCCCCATCAAATTACTGTCTGAGCTTACTTCTGAGTAAGCATGCTTACCATCCCCTTTTCACTTATTGAACCTAATGTTATCCTTCAATTTTAAAAAAACTGTCTATAAAGGATAAATAACCACGTTATCAATGCAGGTCAAGATGTTTAATTTCCTTTTTAATGAGACTAATGACTTTAACATTCAGAACCTGGTAACTAGGTTCACTTAACTGCTCATGGCCTTTCCTTATTTCACCGTATCCTGCTTCCAAGAACAGTGAAAGTGGTTCTCCATTCTGCCCTCATACCAATCTTCTGAGATTGGTCAGCTTAAGTACCATATCCAAGTTCTTGCAGTTCACTGGGTGGCTGACTAAGGATTCGAGCCCCAACCACTCCCTCGTCCAACAGTTCCACTTTCTATACCAGATCCATTGCGTCTCTAAAATGCTGAATCAAATCCAAATTGAAACTGTGCAAGGAGAGCCAGCGTGGTGTGGCGGTTCAGGTGTTGGACTAGGAGTGGGGAGACCAAGATTCTTGTTACTTGTTAAGCTAAAAATTGTGCACTCAGATTGGCAGGTGTGACTTTGAGGATTCAGGAACCTCCCAAGAGGTGGGGAGAGAGAAATGCCCATTGTGATAAGTATTAAGTTTCTTTCAAGGAAGCTTGCTAGTTGTCTAGGTCAGTGTTTCTCAACCTTGTCAACCTTAAGATGGGTGGACTTCAACCCCCAGAATTCCCCAGCCAGACATGCTGGCTGGGGAATTCTGGAAGTTGGAGTCCACCCATCTTAAAGTTGCCAGGGTTGAGAAACACTGTTCTAGTCCACTCTTAGCCATGGACCAGTCACTCTCAATCAGTCCAATCTATCTCACAGGACTGTTGTTTTTATGGGAAAAAATAGCTCTTATATAAGCACATACCAAACAAAACCACCAGAAATATTAAATATACTAAAAATATGAGTTGAAAAATGAGGGGTCACAGAAATCCGAGAGATGCTGAAGTGGGAGAAGGGGAAAAGGAAAAAAAGAACAGATAGCGTTCTCTGTCTTATAGTGTCTATAAAGACAGAGAACACTCCTTACTCATAACTTCCACATACGGATGGTACAATCTTGGCTTTCAATACACATGTATTCCCTCTTTTTTTAAACATTGTATTTATGTATTTCTAAACTTCTTCTTGAAACTTGATAACATTTATCATTTCCAGGACTGAAAAACCTAAAAGGCAAGCCATTTATTTTGCCTTTATATCTGGTGAGAAATGTTTAAGTCATTTTTCAAGGTTACAAAAATAATGCCATTATCTTTCAAAAAGCAGAAATAGATCTCTATTTAACATTTTTAAAAAGGAACCTGTTGCATAACATTATATATATATATATATGTATGAGAAGTATATATATATATATATATATATATATATATATATA